CGCAGTTAGTATAAGTAGTTGTACTATAACATGTATCCCTAAATTTCCATTATGAACCGAGGTCACTTTTAATCTGAACGGACCTCCGATGTCCATTTACTTTAGTTCTATCAACGTGTCCACCCAGATCCCGTCCCCATCCGTCGGAACCGAGAAAATACACTCGTGGACTTCAACTCCCAGAATTCCTGAGGCAGCATGGCTCAGCTTGGAAACCTCTCCCTTTTCCCTCAGCGTGGCTGGCTCAGGAATTCTGGGAGTTGAAGTCCACGAGTCATAAAAGAGCCAAGGTTGCCTACCCCTGGTCTAGGGTAGTATAAAATTGGTTTGCTTCTCCATCACAGTCTTTGGCTTAATAATCTTTCATTTAATTTAATGCCCTGGTCTCTTCAAATGCTGCACAATTCGCAAAAACTTTAGTATCACTAATTGATATTGACCTGTAGTTGAGGGAGATGAAAAGTAAGTGTTCCTGTAGCAGATTGTAACTACTATTTTAGTAGAAACTAGATGGCCATTTGTCAAGTATGCTATAGTCATGGATGTCTGTGCTGAGTAAGGGATTGGATTATAGATAATTCAGGAACCCATCAAACCTTTTCATTCCATGATTCAAAAGGATTCCTTTAGCAAAGATGAACTCTATATGGTAGTAAAAAAGATTGAGAACTTATGAGACTGCCTTCTTCCAGGTCTGGGCTTGTATTTTTCTATTGTTTACATACAACCTTGGAATTCCTTCATTGTCTTGCATCAAAATACTGACTCAGAGGGTGCAGCCCCTTGCAAGGACGACTTACAGAACAGTTGTTTGTTTAATCCTGTGATAAATGAGTCAGCCAGTGTAATAGATTCCAGCCAGAAGTGTTTTCAGGAATGATCCTTCGGTGAATACTGCCTTAGCTGGAATTGCAGAAGGATGACTTCTTTTTCTAGTTTTGTTTTATTGGGATCTCCATGCCAATTATGACAGAGCTGCTCTATTAGCAACACAGTACTTTGCTGTACCATTTATTCTGGGCTTCAGGACATAGCCACACTTCTTCTTAAAAATGTTCCTGCCCTATGCTTTTGCTGAATTGATTCTAGCTGGCTTCAGATAATCTTGCCTGGACTCAGTTCAGGTTATATAAACTGCCACATCCTAGGCCTTACTGACAAACTGGACATCAGCAAATCATTTTGCCTGATGGCATCTACCCCTCCAAGTATTATTGTAAGGAGTTTAAAGCTGACATTGTGGACTTTCTAACTAAAATATGCAGCCTGTCTCTACATTCAGCCTTTGTAGTTGAAGACTGGAAGGTATCACCTTAATTCCAATTTTTAAGAAGGGTTCACAGGGAGATCCAGGAAATTAAAGGCCTGTCAGCTTAACATCTGTTCCAGGAAAACAGTGGAAACCAGAGGACAGAACAAAAACCTAAAGAAGGACTAAAAGCATCATCATCCTCCCAACAGACAAATCGGATGTTCTTGCTTTGAAACAAACCATAGTTATTATGGACAGATGATAATACATGCAAAAAAACCCAAAGAATTACTGGCCGACAGAGAAACCTACAACCTAATAACACCAACCCAATAGGCAAACTAGATAGCCTGATCAAGAGTATTCTTAATCATCTAACCAAGGGAGGTCAAATCACAAAAGAAGAATAGCGGCAGATGAAAAGCAGTAGACCTACCCTCCCACACATTTATGGATGTACCAAAATACACAAGCCCAACATATCTCTTCGTCCAATTGTATCATTAACCAGGGACCCCAACACACAACATAGTTAAAGAACTTACAAAAGAGCTTGAACTGCTTACAAAGGGAAGTTAATATTCTTTTAATTCTCACTCTAGTGCATCCAGAACATCAAAGACCTAATAATAAAAGAAGATGAGATTATGGTTTAGTTCAATGGCACAGCACTCTACATCTATAGGCCCAGAACTAGCAACAGAATCTATAGCAACTGGACAACACAACATCACCTAATTATTTTTTATTTAAATATTTATTAAATTTCTAAGAATCCTGAGAGTGGTGATCCCAATCACCCAACTCTTAATATAGGTAATTGGGATCACCACTCTCAGGATTCTTAGAAACTGTAATGTAAGGCAGCATCTAGAAAACATAGCATTTCCATGCATGCAACCAAAACTATGCATCTGATATGTAGACCACACTTTTGTCATAATAAAGAAGGAACAACTAGACCAAGGGTAGGCAACCTTGGGTCTTTTATGACTCGTGGACTTCAACTCCCAGAATTCCTGAGCCAGCATGGCTCAGCTTGGAACCTCCCCCTTTCCCCTCAGCATGGCTGGCTCAGGAATTCTGGGAGTTGAAGTCCACACGTCATAAAAGACCCAAGGTTGCCTACCCCTGAACTAGACAGATGAAATCAACAACATATTTAAAGGAATAAAATTCACAAGGGAAGAGGAAATCAACACACTACCCTTCCTGGACATCCTCATCAGCCTAAGGAATGACAGCAGATCAGAAACACAAATCTATCGAAAAACCATCCACACTAACCAAGTGCTCCACTACCAAAAACAACCAACCTCCCACAAGAGAAGCTGTGTAAGAACATTATTCAGACACACTGCAGCAATCCAGGACACCAGAAAAAAAAGAAACAGACCACCTGTACCATATCTTCCTTTAAAATGGAAAAAACAACTTTATGGAAAAACACCTGACCACTCAACCCACTACAACGCAACCAACGGAAAAGGTAGCATGGCCATACATCAAAAACATCGCAGAAACAACCAACGGACTGTTACAACAACATGGCATTACCATGGGCACACATACCGATGAAAATTCCAAAACATCTTACATAGGCCAAAAGACCCAATAGCTCAAGAAGAAAAGTGTAAGAACCATAATATGGGACAAGCAGGCAGAAGACCAACAGGATGCATCCATGAAAAATGGGCAGTCAGAAGACATGATGAAAACCTTAATTGGAGAGGACAGACTTAACCATAGTTTCAGCTTGGAATCTGTGAGCACAGTAGAAAAAGCTAAATCCACAAACGTTAGGGAATGTGTGGAAACTTGGCATTCACACAAATCAGCCATCAACAGGAACATAGAGATAAATCACATTTATACTTCATTTGAAAGAGACAGTAAAAAACCGGAAAGAAAATAGAAAGATCAGAACACTTCCTTGCTAGCAATTAACACCCAGATAAGCAGGGCTTAACATCAAGAGCAAGAGCACACAAAGAAGTAGTAAATAATACCTTAATCAAGGATTTACCAAGGAGAAAACAACACCCCCACAAAAAACTGACAGGGCAAACAACTGTATACAAACAAAGCAGTACTGAAGATGTTACCTAGCCAAGTAATGAAATGTCTGCAAAAAAACAAGCAAGCTTAGAGAGCACCAATGGCTCCACAGTGGAAACCACTATTAAAGATAAAATTATCAAAAATGTGGAGACACAGACCTTGCTCAAGATACCCAGGATGGCTTCAGTAAGGGAAGGTCCTTTTTTTTTTAAAAAAAAAAAAATAGCTATTAGAGTTTTTTGAGAGTGTTAATAAGCACGTGGATAAAGGTGAGCCACTAGTCATCTACTTAAATTTTCAAAAATCTTAAGGGTTCTGTCCTAGGACCAGGGCTTTTTTATATAATCTAGCATTGGACACGATTAACGGAATAGCCAAGTTTATATTTTTTTAGAATGGTTAAAAACAATAAGGAACTGTGAAGGAATCTCTGCACACATTGGCATAAAATTGGCAGAGGTCTTTCAATGTAAACAAGTGTAGAGTGATGCATATCACATGAATGAGTGGGATCAGAGCTAGCAAGGACCGATGAAGAAAAAGATTACAGAATAATAACATGAAATGTAGGAAGGCACAGGTTTCCTAAATGTATGCATTTGACCCCTTTGCAGATAGCTGACATTTATAGAAACATAAAGGCAAAAAAGTCAGATGCATATGAGGATTATGATCCACTTTTAGACCCTAGAGTATAGACCAGGAGTAGTCAACCTTGGCTCTTTTATGACTCGTGGACTTCAACTCCCAGAATTCCTGAGCAAGCTAAGCTGCCTCAGGAATTCTGGGAGTTGAAGTCCACGAGTCATAAAAGAGCCAAGGTTGACTACCCCTGGTATAGACCATGGTGATAAATATCCAGTGCCACCTATTTTATACTGCCCTACACTCAGATGATCTAATTAACTTTTTAGTTATAGAAGTGCTGCGTTGCATGGTGCAAATAAGGGGCTGGATACAATGCCTGGTGGATGGTTGACATCTTCATCTCCTTGTTCTCAGCATGCATTTATGCTACAAAATTCTATACTTTAGAAATAAAATTCTCTGTATTTATTTATTTATTTATTTATTTATTTATTTATTCAATTTTTATCCCGCCCTTCTCCTTACGGACTGTGGCGGTAGATTCTTTTTTAGACTGCTGCTTCCAACTCTTCTGATACCTGCAGAGGGTTATTCTGGGGGCAAAAGGGGGGGGATTCTTAGTTTGGAAGAGAAGAACGGGCAGAGAGCAAAATCACCACAACGACAGCTATCAAAAGAGCTAACATGGAATCGATAGAATTTAAAAACTGCAGTTGGTTGCATTGTTTTTCAGCTGGGCCTCCCTGTTCAGCAGCCAGCATTAGAACTGCTTGTGTGCGACAGCACAAAACAAGGGTTTTATATTGAGCATAGGCTACAAATATAATAAATGTATGAAAGATACTTTCCTGGGCCTTAAAGCTGTGCCAGGTAGACTTAGGAGGCTTTGAGAAGTTGCATTTGGTCGTTCCACCACGCAGTTAGCAGGGTGCATTATTCCAGTGCACAATTGGAATACTTTTAGTTTTCCCAGAAGCATAATTGGGATTTCTGTGCCGCAATCGTAACTGAAGTTTTGTGCGGTTAAATGAACGTACGTATGTAGCCTGGGAACTCCATGCAAAGTTTGTCTTGCTGCATCTTGTTCTGCTGCCTTCAGAATTACCTCCAACAGTGACTATATCACAAGGAAATCTGAAGGCCATGCAGAATTAGTGCCACCTACTGTTTGCGTGGCGCCTAAGATATGCTTATCCGAGAAAGAGTTTGACAAGTTGCAGTAGATCAGTGTTTCTCAACCTTGACAATTTTAAGGCATGTGGACTTCAACTCCCAGAATTCCACAGCCAGCAATGCTGGCTGTGGAATTCTGGGAGTTGCAGTCCACATGCCTTAAAATGGTCAAGGTTGAGAAACCCTGCAGTAGATGGTTACGAAGATGAATTTTTAGTCCATCCCTTCCATTGCCGTGACGATCCAGGTAAGAATCTGGATTTTTTTAAAAAAAGAAGGATAGAAGGCGATGCTGCGAACTTGAAAAAGAGGGCAATGCTTTTTAAGATAGAAATACTCACTTCAGCTCTTTCTCTTGTTTTGCCTCTCTTAGCCTGAGAACCTGCTCCTTGCCAGTAAGTGCAAGGGCGCTGCTGTCAAACTGGCCGACTTCGGACTTGCGATTGAAGTACAAGGAGAACAGCAGGCGTGGTTTGGTAAGTGTTTCAGAAGGGTTGACGTTTTGTCAAGTGAAATGTCTTTTTTTTTTACTCAAAAGGAGGGTTGCAACTTGTCACTTAAAGAAAGGCCCCAGCTCACCTCCAAAATGGGGGTGGTTTTCTTTGCAGGGATGAGATAGCCCAGTGATGGCGAACCTTTTTAGAGACTGAGTGCCCAAACTGCAACCCCAAACCCACTTATGTATCGTCGGGTGCCCGGTGGGTGTGGCCCATTGGGTGGGTGTGGCCCATTGGGTGGGCGTGGCTGCGGTGGTAACGGCAGACTGGGTGGGACTAAAAAGTTCAATCAATCAATTCCAACTTTGCGAGAGCTTTTTTTTTTCCCCGCGAGAAGTTGAAATTGACTCATTGATTGAACCTTTTTTTTTTTTTTTTTTGCACACGGCGGTGGAGGCCTAAAGCGAAAAGGTTTTATAAAACCAAGCTGAAGGCCTAGGACTGGGGTGGCGGCGCGCATGCCCACAGAGAGGGCTCTGAGTGCCGCCTCTGGCACCCGTGCCATAGGTTCGCCACCACTGAGATAGCCCGAGCTCCATTTTGTACTCTCACTTACCTACTGCAGCCCTTGCTTTCATTCCACTCAACTCTGTAGCAGGGACTTTTTGTTCACCCTTGGTATAAAATGCCAAATTCTGGGTCATGAGATTCCTCAGCTTTCATTCTATTAGTTTTCTTCGCTGAGACAAGCCTAGAATAAAAGAAAACAAGCCTGAAATAAAAAACAATAGTAGAAAGTGAGATGGACAGACTTGCAGGGGCTGAGACCTGTGGTTGCTGCTGCTGGACATATTTGAGGAGCGCTTCCTATTGTAGCTCCTCTCTTTGCTGCTTTGGACAGTGTGTGGCCCAGAAGATCTTTGGCAGTGGCTACCAGGGATTTTTTCCTGCATCTGGACACGGTTGCTGGGAGTGCCCTAGGCTCGGTCATTGAGAAGCACACTCCCATGCAGCTTCCTGCTTCCCTCAATGCTAATCTGCACCCTGGAGAGATCTAACCGTGCCCTCCTCCAAGAACTCCACCTTGAAGGCTTTGCGTTACAGAACTGAGTTGGATACTCCAAGGTGTAATGAAACTGATGCAATTTGAGGAGGAAGAAATGGGGACCCTGGAAGTGTGGTTTTGGAGAAGGGTGGGGGGAGGGAATGAGTTGAATTACGTCTGATAGATCCTGGTGAGCGTAGGGCTGGATGGGAGTTGACATAAGGTTTTAGAGCGATGGGCCCCTGATTGGTGAGATAATGGATGAAACTTGATTGAGATGGTGGGTGCAGAAATGAGCATTGATTTGGTCAAGTGCAGCCTGTGGAGGAGTTGTGAGTGATCGGCTGTCTTCAGAGAACATTCAGATGCTACAACTGCTCTAGAACATAGTAGTTGTGGGTGCACCATGTGGAAGCCATTCAATACATCTATTCTGACAACCAGACTGGCTGCTAGTTGACTCCTGGGTGCAATTCAAGGTGCTGGTTGCCACCTTGAAAGTCTTAGATGTTTCAAGACCTATGTATCTGCAAGACTGCCTTCTCCCAGTAACATCTGCCTGCCTAATAAAATTTAGTAGGATTGGATCTTTACATATCCTGCTGATCAGACTGGCCAGAGACTTCAAGGACCACGAAGGCTTAACCTCTCAGTCATCGTCCCATTTCACCACCATTACACCTCCAACTTTTGAACTGACCCCTCTTCCCTGGCCTTCAGAAAATTAGTGAAAACTTGGCTGCTCCACTAAGCCTTAAGCTTGATTTGCATTACTTTTGACTTCAAATATGTATTGGGCAGGCGTATATTGCTCAAAGTTTGGCTGATTGGAACGGGCTGTAAGTCCTGTAAAGATATAAATGAAAAGCAAATAAAATAAAGGACATGCCCCAGAGGAAACACGGGATATAAACACAGCGTATAAGGAAGATTAAAATATTAACTAACGTTTGGCCACAGCATTAGATTCCACCTGCCAATTGAAGCCGAATCAATCGTGGCAATCTATGATTATCTTCCCAACAACTGGCGTGGGAGGGAATTGGTTTGACTGACACCCTGTGCTAGACTTGGTCCAAGATGGCGTAGCCCGGGAAGGTTTTTCATGAATTATCATGGGGTAGCTCTCTTAACACATCCCCCCCCCCACTTCCGTGTCGGAAGGCTTATTTTCTCGTAATTGTGAAATTAGTAGCTTTATTCTGAAGTGCTGCACTGTGCTTTGACAGGATTTGCAGGTACCCCGGGTTACCTCTCCCCTGAGGTCTTAAGAAAAGATCCGTATGGGAAGCCAGTGGATATATGGGCGTGCGGTAAGATCCTCTTAACTTTTAATCCTAGTTCTTTGGGTTGCGGGGGATCTACTTGCTTTAAGGTGGGACCAAGCTGCATAAGGGTATCTGGCGATTTGCAGAGATGGAGAATATAGTCTATGAACCTGTGGCTGTCACGTTCCTCAATTGAATTGAAAAGGCAGCTCTGTACTTTTTTTATATATATATTCAAATTTTTATTAATTTTCAAATAAACAAACAAGTTACAAATATGGTATACATTAATAAACAAAAAAAACCACCCCATATTATGTGTCTATTCAGAGATGCTCAGCAGCCCCCCCCCCGCCTGCGTCCACCCTCTTTTTCACCCTTCCTACCTACTTCCCTCCTCCTCTCTTCTCCTCCTACCTACACCTCTCTCCTCCTTCCTCCTCTCAACTACCCTAAGGAAGGAGGTGGGATGTGTAGGGTGTACTTTTTAATCCAACTGCTATCTGTTCTGTAGAAACCAAGGTTGGCTCAAGTGCTACCAGCTACATAGAGTCCTCATCCTCATTATTTGGAAGATTATTAATTTCCTGAAAACAGAGCTAGATAACAAAGAACCTTGATGGACATAGGCCAGGGGTAGGCAACCTTGGCTCTTTGATGACTGGTGGACTTCAACTCCCAGAATTCCTGAGCCAGCATGGCTCAGCTTGGAAACCTCTCCCTTTCCCCTCAGCATGGCTGGCTCAGGAATTCTGGGAGTTGAAGTCCACGAGTCATAAAAGAGCCACGGTTGCCTACCCCTGACATAGGCAGATTCCACTCTGTCATTATGTGATGGAAATGTAGAATCTGGACTGACAGAACCTACAGTGAAAGGAAGCCTGGATGTAGGGATTGTGAAATGAGCATGTTGTCTCGCAAAGATTCAGCACATCCATTTCTTTTAACCGACGTTTGGCTGCAAAACTCTCTAGAGTAATCCAACTTTTCTTTCGATTGCGATACATTTGGCAAAGCTCTTTTTATTTTAGTGTTCGGATTATTAATTAGGCTTCTCAGTTCTCAGGCACTTTTATCTGTTTTTCTTCTTTTAACAGAAAATTGTCCCATGAAAATTCCCAGGGAACTAATGGGACAGCGCTTTCGTAACTTAACACTTTTTCTTTATGCGGCCTGCAATTAACTGCTGTTCCATTAAGCAGGAAGAGTATTTAGACCTTTAACTCTCTTCATCAAAAGTTTGAAAGAAAAACTTGTATTAGCTGGGGTGAAAAAAAGACTAGTTTCTTGTCCATTATTGCCCCAAACTGATTTAGAATGGAAATGGTCCAGATTGATCTGTTCATTCATGTCTGAGATGAATGGTGCTTTTAAACTTCTCATTGGGACACTCTCTTCATTGTAAAAAACCCAGAACATTTACTGCATGAATGGAACATTGTTCTCTGCTTGCTAGAGTAATAAACCTGGTTTCAGTTTATTAATGCACTTCTGATGCTTTGTTACAACCTGTAACTGGTACAGATTTCCACTTATGAAAACACGTACACTTAATTTGTATAAAGACTGGAGCAAATGAGCAAGCAATTAAACAATGTCCTTAGTCATCCATTATCTTAAAGGAACAGATCAGGAAAAGTCTAACCTTGCCACATTTCTTTTCTTTACATTTCATTTTGTCCACAATAAAATGTTTTTATCCGCTCGCTAGGAGTGGTCACTTGCACAGACGGGCAGGCCTTATCAATTTTTAAAAATAATTTATTGAGGCTTTTAATAAATATAGTAACAACCAGTATAGACAAAACTGTTTGTTGGTTTGTTTAGTAAATTTGTTTCTGCAAGGTGACTCTGAGCGGCTTACAAGATCAAAATAAAACCATAAAGACATGTACAAATGTGTAAAATCACGATGAAATCATAATAAAATACCAATTATAAACTAAAAGATGTGGAGGAAAAGACCAGAATTTATGGTGAAGGGGAGGTGGGAGCTGCTGTTAGTTAATCAACTACCTCCAGCGTGATACCCCCCCCACTGAGGCCCCAAGCCAACTGGCAGAGATAATAATAATAATAATAATAATAATAATAATAATAATAATAATAATAATAATAATAAGTAGTAGTAGTAGTAGTAGTAGTAGTAGTAGGAAGGGACCTTGGAGGTCATCTAGTGCAACCCCCTGCTCAGGCAGGAAACCCTATACCATTTCGGACCAATGGCTGTCCAGGCTCTTCTTAAAGACTTCCAGTGTTGGAGCATTCACCGCTTCTGGAGGCAGGTTGTTCCACTGGTTAATTGTTCTAACTGTCAGGAAGTTCTAGATTGCTTCTTTCCTTGATTAGTTCCCATCCGTTGCTTCTTGTCCTGCCTTCAGGCGCTTTGGAGAATAGCTTGACTTCCTCTTCTTTGTGGCAGCCCCTGAGATACTAGAACACTGCTATCATGTCCCCCCTCGTCCTTCTCTTCGTTAAACTGGACATCCCCAATTCCAGCAACTGTTCCTTATATGCTTTAGCCTCCAGTCAGTCAATCTTGCCTCAGAGAGTAGGATATTTCAGAGTAGAAGAAAAATAAAAATAAAAGTTCAGAAGGTGCAGGAAAAAAAAGACAAAAAAGTAGAAGAGAAAAGGAAAAAGGCAACAAAGGTGCCCTTCAATCTCCATAACACCAAGCATAATCTAATAATAACTTCTCACCCTCTTTTAAAGTTACAGATAAAAAAAACCTTTTCTTCCCATAACTTAACTTTTATTTATACACAATCCAGAAATCACCATCTTTTCAATCCTAGTCAGCAAAAACTGAACTCTGCATTAAGAGTTGGCAGAAGTATCCAACAAATCATTTATCCCTGGTCAAATAGTCCTCTTTTTTTGCTCTGTAAATCTTGACCTTCAAATCATTCTTACGGCATTGCAGGATTTGATCTTTCATCGCCCTTTGGCATTTAAAATGAGTCTTCAAAGCTTTTACCAGCCTATTTTGTGAATCCTATAAAGAGGCTTTGTTCAGGATGTTTTGTTGCAGCTGTTCCACACCCAGATACTTTTTCTTGATTTGTCTTTTGTCATTTCATCTTGGTAATCTCAATTTTGTGGCCTCCCATTCCATCAAATTCTATAATGTCTATGTCGGATAAAAGGTTTTTAAAATACTTTTTCTCATCATATTGTAAAAGTTTGTCCATTCAAATCTTTATTCTTTTTAATACATTTGTTATTAATATTTCAGTCCATGTTTTTTTAAAAAATTAAAATAAGAAACAGTTATGGGCATTTTAACTCTTTTCGGCCTGATCCTTTAGTTCCCCTTAATGTCCATTTACAACCTTCATTAAGCCTCAGTTCCTAATAGGGGTTTGTTCTGATTCAATCATTTCCCACAAGTATATTATTTAACTAGCTGTACCAGGCCATGCGTTGCTGTGGCTTAGTCTGGTTAAATGGAAAAGAAAGAATTGGAAATTTGGAAATCGTAAATGGATCGTAAATCGGAAACATTGAAATGGAATGGTAAAATCGTAGCGTGTGTTGCTTTTACGTCCAACACATGGCGTTGTTTTTGAAAAAAAGCATGTTTTTACCTGTCACAGGTGTGACATCTATATAATAGTAGGTATATAAAAACACGTGCGTATTCGAATGCAACGTTGTGTCAAAATTTCAAAGCAATCGGTGAAGAACTTTCGGAGATTTAAGATTTTGAACAAACGAACATTTACATTTTTGTTTATATAGATTATATACTTGTGGGTTTTTTTTCCAAATCTTACAGCAAATATAACCAATATTCCAAATCTCTCTGGTCTCCAAATTCATTTAAAACTTTCTTAAATCAAGATATTTTTTTTGCTTTTTGCCAATCATATATTAAATATACAGTAAAATTTCTTAAATCCAAAGAGGAAGGTAATACTCACCAGGTGTTGAATTAAGTTTGCTGTTTTGAAGGTCTCTAATATTTCCAAATGTGATTAAAAAGTGAGTTTGTCTGGCTTAGTGTCTTATGAAAGACTCCGCCATTGTTTAGAGTAAAGATAGTTTATCTCCCTCAGGTCCTGGCACTCAGACCCATGGAAGATCTCAAATAAATGTATTAACATACAGTACATGATGGCTAAGGATGCTGCAAGCATTCTCACATTTTTCCATGTTCAAATATTTATGGTAACTTGGGAGATGCTGGTATGACAGAGAGGTGTCCACAGAAGTTGGAATGAGTCTTGAACATAGAAGATAGATTGCCTTGTGACAATGGGCAGCAGCTTAAAAGGTGATAGGCCCCGTGGATTGACTCAAGGGTGTATTTGCCTTTTAGGGTAACTATTTTTTTTATTTTCTCCCAGGAGTTATTCTTTATATATTACTTGTTGGATATCCTCCATTTTGGGATGAAGATCAGCATAAACTGTATCAGCAGATCAAGGCAGGGGCCTATGATGTAAGATAATTCCTTATTATATGTTGTTTTCTATAGTTAATTGTCTGATTTTGATGCATCATGCTGAAAAACGCATTGTTGGGCATAGGGGATAAGGAAGAGGGATAGTGTCAGAAGTTGCTCATTCATAAAAATTATAGAGGGGTTAATACTAGTTCAGTAATTTAAAATCTTTTAGCGGCTGAACATTCTTTTAAAGAGAACCATTTTCTATTCTTGTTAGCTGGATGAAATGACAGGAACCAACTAATGTTCCCATTTATCTGTCCCCTAAATTCAGCAATCTAACACTCCAAATAATTTGTAGTCTACAGTCCACATCCATATTGGAACTGTATCACATATATTTTTCTGCTTTGATTCATAATGTGAGTCCCCGAAAGGCCGCTAACTCATAGTGATTCAGCATGGAATAAAAAGCAAAAGCAACTACAGAAATACATGTTACATAAACTGGTAAAAAAAACAGTCTCTGTTATCTCTCCGCTTAGTTTCCTTCTCCGGAATGGGATACTGTGACCCCAGAAGCAAAGAATTTAATCAACCAGATGCTGACAATAAACCCTGCAAAGCGCATCACAGCAGATCAGGCACTTAAGCACCCATGGGTCTGTGTAAGTATCTACAGCTTCCCTTCTCACAATAACTTTAGAGGCTTGGAAATGGGCCCCAACTACCTTAAAGCTGAAATGGAAGAACTACAAAGACGGCACGTAGAGGGGGAGAGAGTGAGATTGAGAGCCACTGGTTAGGTTAGGGGTGTCAAACTCAATTTCATTAAGGGCTGCATCAGCATTGCAGTTGCCCTCGGGGGGGGTGTGTGGCCTACTGGGTGGGTGTGGACGGAGTGGGTGTGGCCTATTGGGTGGGCATGGCCAGCTCTATATCGTTCGTGTCAAGGGTGTCTGTGGGGGCCTGGGCAGGAGTGGGACAGATCTGAGGGTCTCTGGCAGAAGGGGGTGGGACTGGGGCAAGTGCCAAGGCATGGTCCAATGGAGGCGCCTCACTGCCTGCTCAAACCCCTCCCCCGGAGCCCATCAAGCCGGATATGTGAAGTAGGCGAGGGCCATTTGCTGGCCACTTCCAGGTGATGATGCATTTCTTCATTCCTCACAAAGGGTGACACCTCCCCAGCATGCACCCAGGGGGCGGGGCTGACACGGCAGGGGCTGATTCCTCGCTGTTTCCAGACAGCTTTGTGAAGCTAAGACTGAATGCATTTTAGCATAGATGGCCACCACAAAATTGTACATTGGCTCCCGGCCGGCCTGGGCCAGGGCCAAGGCAGTGGGGGCTGTTCCCTCACTGTTTCCAGGATGGCTTCACAGGCCACATGAAACCACTTCGCGGGCCGCATCCGGCCCCGGGCCTTGTGTTCGACATGTCTGGGTTAGGTGGTTGGACTCTGACTGATGGGAGATAAGTTCATTGACATCTCTTCATTGATGGAAACACTGAATGTGGGCCAGTTACATGCAGTGGAATAACATGAAGAGAGATTGCCGTGTAAGCTACCTTGAACGCTTAGAGCAGGGGTCCCCAACCCCCGGTCCGTGGACCGACACCGGTCCGCAGCGTGCCAGCAATCGGTCCGCGCAAACAAGCAAAGCCCCATCCGTAGGATGCAGGCAGTGCACAAAACCACAACCCCTCTGGTCCGCGGAAAAACCTTTCTCCACGGCACTGGTCTCTGATGCCCAAAAGGTTGGGGGCTTGTGGCTTAGAGGAATGGTAGAATAAAAATCTATTAATTAAATAAACTGAGATGGTGATCTAAATGACAGTTTCTGTTTGCTTTTTTTCCAGCAACGATCAACTGTCGCTTCTATGATGCACAGACAGGAGACTGTGGAATGCTTGAGAAAGTTCAACGCCAGAAGAAAGCTGAAGGTATATATACAGTGACTTACGATTCCACGTTTTGTGATTATGGAAGTTGGCAATATGCAGTCCAATGAGCATCACTTTACACATGTTCTTTGCATGTGTTCATCAGCTCCACACCATAAAATCAGATCACCTTTATTAAATCCATTACATTCATTCTCCCCATCTTAGTTTCATGGACACCGAATAATCTGTTTTCTTCCTTTAATTTCATTCATTAATTAATGCTCTTCACTATTTACTCCTCCTACATTTCATGTGACAATCGTATGTGCTCTGGTGATCACCAACTTGTTCTATGGGTATGGATCATTGTTAATAGTAATATAGAAAAATATAGGGGTTACTAATCTTAGTGGTATCTGTGGCTCATGCAGCATTACCAGCTCTTGGTAAAGACAGTAACAGCCAGTTTTAGCACATTTTGGTAGTATGCCCAGTTTTGCCCAGATATAGTCACACCAATACATTGTGACTCACATCCTGCTAACTAGTAGGTGCATGCAACATATAGAGACCCTATTTGGGAGGCTACAACAGGCAAAACACTTTCCTTGAAGAGAAGAAACTTTAATTGGGGGCTGCATGACATATCTTTATATTTTGTGGTATAGGCCATAATAAACATATATATTCACTGGTATAGTATCCAGAATATTCGTTCTTTACCTTTTGTGTGTTTTTATATATATATAAAATATATATATGTAAATATATATATATATATATGTATATTGCTATTTTTAGGGGGCAATCCTTACTACTATGCTGGTGTCTCGGAATTTTTCAGGTAAGAATTTGTTTGCTTTTCTCTTTCTTGATTTGTGTCCAGCAAATACGTTAAATGAATTTTAGCTTTACAAATCAGACAGATGACCCTTTACTTTTTGAAGAATGGTCCAATTTTATGCAGTCGTTGTATATCTGGCCTGATCCTAGATAAGAATTGCCATGATTGTACTTGTCACTTTTCAGTTTCCTGTTTGCTTTTACTTGCTTATATTGTGGCAGCAAAGTTTTTTTTTTATTTCAGCTGAGAGGAGAGAGAACGAAATCCTAACCAAACATGTGGTTGATTTCTGCGAGGAATAGTAGGATGGCCCCTATTTATACAAAGTCCTAGAGCAGGGGTAGGCAACCTTGGCTCTTTTATGACACGTGAACAGCATACCTCAGCTTGGAACCTCTCCCTTTCCCCTCAGCACGGCTGGCTCAGGAATTCTGGGAGTTGAAGTCCACGAGTCATAAAAGAGCAAAGGTGGCCTACCCCTGTCCTAGAGCAGTGTTTCTCAAGCTTTGCAACCTTAAGATGTGTGGCATGGTTGGCTGGGAAATTCTGAGACTTGAAGCCCACACATCTTAAAAGCTCTGAGATTGAGAAACGGTGTCCTAGAGCATCCAGAATGGGGCAGTAAGAATAAAAACAAAAATCAAGATGGCGACCACAATGCTGCCGCCATCTTGACTTTTTCAAATCTTTCCCTCCACCCCATGAATGTCTCTGCATCGAGAGCTGATTCTGATAACTGTTTCCAAAAATTTTAAACAGTCCCAGCTGGCATTTATATCCATAGTTTTATAAAGAAATAGCAAAAACCTGACATAAATTAAAACCATTGGCATTTTTTTTTCCTTTGAGCCATCTTAAAAAGATTTCACACGGCATTCAAGTCTTGAAAAGATTGCTGGCCCCTGCTGCAGCATTCTTTCAATTTGCAAATCTTTTTATTTTATTTTTCCATTGTAAAGTACCTAACATAATGGATTACAAAGTAATAATCCACAGAAATTGCTTAAAAACAATTCTCTCTCTATCCTAACTTCCCAAATTTACACATTATGTTTTCAGTTTGCAGAGGTGGGTCTGCTTATGACAGCGAGATATTTTTTTTTTTTAGCTCTGGCAAGAAACAACAGTTACTTTGGAGAAAACTGCCTCTGTCAGTATTTTCTTTCAACAAAATGTTTTCTAACTTCATATCAATATGCATACTATTGTTTTCAGGTCTTGGGTTTGAAATTGTCCTCCCTTTTCGCAAATAGAAACCAGTTTTTCTTCTTCACCGTCCAATGATAAAAGAACTTCTGAAAGTCCTCTTCTCATATTTCCAATTTAATGCGAAGCCAAGACAATTCCTTAAGCACTACAATGGTTTGAGAGGGTGCTTTTTTAAATTTCACTTCTAAGTGTAGGGGTTTGGTGGGGAAAATCTTGGCTCTCGATTTCAGTAAAATAGTCTCATTTTCCACTATTCAAAAATACACAATGCTGTATTTACACAACCACTCAAAAGTCTTTAATTTCTCTGTCAGGAATGTTATAAAAAGATTTTATTATCACAGCAGAGAATTATTGATGATTGTGATATTGAAAAAAATCAGGAAAGGATTTGTATAGCTACAGTTCTCTCCCTGTTTCTTTTACCACCAAATCAGCCCATAATGTTTATCAGTGACTACTTCATGGTCAAAAGGACTCACTAGGGATTCATTATTCAGGTCTAATTGAATTTAGTAATAGGATTTGAAGCAGTAAAAAGATAGTGTTTTAGAACTAAAGTAACTCAAGGTAACTGAAGATCTTCATTGCCCAAGCTAGATGTGTATGAGAGGAAGAATGCCAGCTAAGTATTGGTGTAGAAATAACAGGACAGTATAGGACAGTGGTGGCGAACCTATGGCATGGGTGCCAGAGGCGGCACTCAGAGCCCTCTCTGTGGGCACGCGCGCCGTCGCCCCAGTCCTAGGCCTTCAGCTGGGTTTTATAAAACCTTTTCGCTTTAGGCCTCCGCCGCCATGTACAAAAAAAAAAGAAGGTTCGATCAATCAGTCAATTTCAACTTCTTGCGGGGAAAAAAAGATCTTGCAAAGTTTGAATTGATTGATTGAACTTTTTAGTCCCACCCAGTCTGCCATTAACACCGCAGCCACGCCCACCCAATGGGCCACATCCAGCCAATGGGCCACACCCACCCGGCACCCGACGATGCATAAGTGGGTTTTGGGTTGCAGTTTGGGCACTTGATCTCTAAAAGGTTCGCCATCACTGGTATAGCAGTCCCAATGAGGTCAGGCACCTGTAAACATAGTAAATAATAAAATACATTTAAGCACCTTTTCCTACTAATGGCCATCAGGTCATTGACTGTATTTGTCAACTATTGATATATTTTAGAAAACACATGCATAAGTGGAAATTAACAGCACAGATCACATTATTACAATATAGTAAAGCTTGCACTAACATCTTACACTATATTCACAATGCTATTCATGTTCCCTTGCAACAGAGGTCAGAGCAAAGATCACACAAATAATACCCATTGGTGCAACTACTCTAGGAAAGGCAAGCTCTGACTTAATTTCTGAGAAATACACACCCAATAATAGCCAGCAAAATCCAAACAAATAGAGCTAGAAATCCAAGCCTAACATAGAGGTGCCTGGAAAGAACGACATGGCTGCAGGAGGCTGCAGAGCTGTGAGTCTTCAGTACAAAAACGTGGGCAATAATACTGAAACCCGTAGATCAGAAACAGGAAATAAAGGAAGACAAAAAACTTTTTCAGATCTCTAAATCCAAATCAGAATTAGACCCAAAGGAGCAGAGAAAGCAGATACAAGTGAAACCGTTGGAAACAAAAGTTCATGGTTTTTCTTAAGGACGAGTGATGGGGAGGTAGCATTGAGTAAAAAAACTAATGCATCTAGAACGGATGGTAAGTGACAAAGTCAAGGTTCTGTCTGTAGCAAGAAGGCCAATATCAAGGCAGGTAATGAACAGAATCTTACTCATTAGAAAGTGGAGCATAACTGATCTTTCAAACCCTGGAGGTTCTAACATTATTGGAATTCATTTTTTGTCATCTGACTAACTTTCCTCCACTGTTTCTCAAGCAGATACGTTCTCCGCTTTATACGCTCCCTGATTATAAATGTTTACATTAATAAACCACTCTACTTCTTTAGCTGTCATTTTTATTTGTCTTACTGGAGTTTTCAAGATGTCCGGCTTCCCTTTTTGTTTGAAAGCCACTAGCGGTGAGATTTTTTTTGCTGCTGTTTTGGCAAACGAGGACCTCCTCAAATTTCTTATGTACTTTAGCATACGTCCTGGACTTGTAAACATGTGCTCAGGTTTTTATTTGAGAAATGAACAGGCTAGTTTAAAATGAGCTTTTTCTTGAAAAGGTGCTTCAGCTGAATGGGGAGAAGGTCCAAGGTCATTGTGAAAGCTGTTTGTGAGCCCCATATGTTGCATCATCTTTCAGCCTCTATGCTACACAGTTTGAACTGTAATATCCCTCAGGAATAAGAAGGGAGCATTAGGGGCTTCGATGAGGCAGAAGAATGCATGACAGTTTTCTAGCTTTTCTCTGGAAATCTGCTTTGTGGGAGGGCTGCTGATTTCATATCCCCAGGTTCGTGTAGTCTCTGGACTCCCATCTTTTCAGTTCCTGTAGCCACACCATCAGTGCCTTTCACCCAAACCTCTTCCTGGAATAGTTTCATTTCTATGAAGTTTTGGTTCTCAATTTTTCTTTAAAATCTCACTTCTACCAAAGGTTTTTTAAATAATAATAATAATAATAATAACTGTAGCATCTTAAAGAGATATCTGCAGAGAAGCAGACACCAGGTGAGAATTGAGTGTAACTGAAGACAATTTAAGAAGTATTGTAGGTCTCGGTCTGAAAGATTAGCTGACTAATCCACTGGCATCTTACAAGCACCGCCTTGTCTGCCTATGGTCCTTTTTGTGTGTCACGCTCCTCACAGTCACATCCTCTGCCTTTTGTTAAGAGAATTTCTCTATTCCACTCGGGGAAGGAAAAAAAGCAAAATGTAACCATTGGATAAATTAGCGCTTTCGCTAGGGTGGGTAGGGAAAGCTCTGTTATCTCTCTGTGAGAGAAAATGGCCTAAAAACTGAATGATTGATGAGTGGGTTGGCTGAAAAAAAACAAAACAAATGAAGGACTAAAAACTTGCTTTTAGAAGATTAAAAATGGTGTGTCGTGACCTTTAAGAAACACTCTGGATCTGTCATTGATGCATATGAATTGGGAATCAGGTACCTGCATGTCATCAGTTTGGTTACAGGGCTGAAAATGTCAGCAGGTAGCAACTATGGCCATTTTACAGCTTCATCTGGTTTGCCAGTTGCTTCCTTTCCTCGATCGAGAGCACTTCCGGATAGTTACTCAGGCCCTGTTCCAGATAGTCACTCAGGCCATGTCTTGACTTCTGAAACATGACCTATGTAGAGCTTCCCTTGAAGACCACATGGATGTTTCAGCTGGTCTAGAAGGCAGCCTTATGGGCAGTGATGCCTCAGTGTAAGACCCCTGCTTTGTTAATGACATGGTTACCAGTTTGTTTCTGAGTGTGAATCAAGGAGCTGGTCATTACCTGTACATGGTAATTACCTGTACATGGTATAGGGCCTAGTTCAGGGGTAGGCAACCTTGGCTCTTTTATGACTCGTGGACTTCAACTCCCAGAATTCCTGAGCCAGCATGGCTCAGCATGGAAACCTCTCCATTTCTCCTCAGCATGGCTGGCTCAGGAATTCTGGGAGTTGAAGTCCACGAGTCATAAAAGAGCCAAGGTTGCCTACCTCTGGTATAGGGCCTAGTTATTTGACGATCTGCCTGGCTGATTCAATTTGGTAAGATTGGTGTGCTCCAGGTTCCTTTAATTAAACAGTGTCATCTATTAGGACCCCAAAAGTGTGCCTTCCATGTTGCAACACCTCTCTCTGCTTTCAGGTTCCTCATGAAATCTAAG